AAGAGACGCGATGGTCATGGTCATTTAAGCTGCTTTATAATGAACTTAGTTACACTATTATGCCAACCACAGCATGTTAAATAGTGCTAATAATTACTACGTATGATATGGACATCATACTAATGGTATAAACAGTTTAAATAGATTAAAGCATTTAAACTGAAATCATAATAAAAAACATGTTTTTTTAAAAGGTATCTTAATTCTTTTCTTTTGCTTAAACTTCTAGAAAGAGACTGTATCAGAGCCTAAACATTTCTAAGCGTGTCTTATGAAGGATTATTACTCAGTATAAACAGCATTATTATCACTGTATTCGTGTATAACCTTGTTTAAAAAGCCCATAACTTGCTTCAGCTTGATGCAGTAGAGAGATGCCCCAGGCAAGGAGCAACATGAAATGTCATTGAGGCAGATGTTTGAATACACATTGAACAAAGGCATAAATTAAACTGCATACTGACGTGTAAATTAAAGCTAGGTGTGAAAAATTTGGAAGTTGAATTGAAAGGCTGTAACTCTTGATTTCCATATTTTTCTTCAGTGGAGCTATGTAATCTGATATATGCTCTAGAGAAGCCACTTTCTTCATTGCTTTCCAGATTTCATGTTCTCCAATCACGTGTGCTCTCATGCCATTCTGTCCACCACCTACCAATAGTCCATGCTTTACCTCTGTTTCATTATCTTACCAGATAACTTGTTAAAATATCACAACAGATTTATTTGTCCTTCTCAGGAACTTATACTTTTACTCAATTATTATCATCTACATCCCTCTTTAATCTCATCTAAACATTAACAAACCTATATTATCATACAGCTGCCTTGTCTAAAGCAAATTGTGGGCTTCTAGAAGGCAGACTGCCTGTTAATTTTACCTAAAACCAACTTTGTATATATAAATTAATAAATAAATATGCTCTCTAATTTTGTTATGCCACTTAAAATCTTTCTTAACTCTATTATTTGAATGGTTTCTATTTCTTTTTGTTTTATTTTTATAAATTTTAGAGAGTTTTTTAAAAAATATTACACATAACTTTGGAAATCTAAATATGAAAATGACAGTTTAGCAACTGGATAACTAGAAATTTTACATTTGGCATTCAGCTTAGGTTTCATGTTATTCTTAACTATTAATGGAAATATTTCAGTTGTTAACCAGCACTTACTTGAAAGTTTACAACGTTCAGTTTACCATGACAGTTACTTTGGGGTTTGATGGATAAATAAGTTAGTTGTGTTTTCTCCCCATAAAACTATGTATTTTTTGGCAGATGAGAAAACTCAACTATATCATTTGCTCAACATTTTACTTTTTATCTCATTTATATGTATTGAAGAGATTAAAGGAGGAAGGCTCTTTCAGCTAAATGATATAAGAGCGCATTTCACTGGAGAGGAAATCTTAGAGCTGCTTCTTCTTGAAAGATGGCAGCATTAGTGGAACCAGAAGAGACCTAAGTGATACTAGCTATGTAAGTGGAAGAACACTAGTAAAGAACACAAGGGCATAGCGGTTTTCCAGTAATATTTTGCTCATCCTCCGTTCACAAGTTTATTACTGTTCTGCTGTGGACTTTTTATTGATGTATAATATATCTACAGAAAATTGCATATATCATACATGTACACCTCAATGAATTTTCACAAATCAAGCTCATCCATGTAACTATCACAGACAAGGCAGAAAATTAATGTCGCCTTAGAAAGCTCTCCCTTGTGCTCTGCACCAGCCATATTCCTTCCTACAAGGATTGCCCTATCCTGATTTCGAAAACTCTAAATTAGTTTTGCCCACTTTGTAATTTTAGTAAAAGGTTTCATATATTATATACTTTTTGTCTGGCTCCTCTCATGTAATGATTTATTTTTAATGTAAATCTGTTGAAGCATTTGTATATCCTGTATAGTTCACTCATTTCAATTGTACAATGATGTTTTTAGTGAACTTAGCAAGTGTTGCAACCATTGCAATAAATCAGTTTTGGAATATTTTTTGTCATCACAATAAGATTCTGCATGCCAATTACTGTTCATCCCAATCTCCTTCCTCATCCTGTGCAATGTCCAATCTACTTTCTGTCTATATGTTTATCCTCAATGTATTATTTTAAAGCGAAAAAATGAGTATTTAAAACCAAGTTAAATTTAATGGGCTTTTCAGTGGGGACAATATAG